ATAGGGGAAGAGTCGAGGGGCACCTCTTCTAAGGGAAGAGTCGAGAGGCACCTCTTGTAGGGGAAGAGTCGAGAGGCACCTCTTATAGGGGAAGAGTCGAGGGTCACCTCTTATAGGGGAAGAGTCGAGGGGCACCTCTTCTAAGGGAAGAGTCGAGGGGCTCCTCTTATAGGGGAAGAGTCGAGGGGCACCTCTTGTAGGGGAAGAGTCGAGAGGCACCTCTTGTAGGGGAAGAGTCGAGGGGCACCTCTTGTAGGGGAAGAGTCGAGGGTCACCTCTTATATGGGAAGAGTCGAGGGGCACCTCTTGTAGGGGAAGAGTCGAGGGGCACCTCTTGTAGGGGAAGAGTCGAGGGGCACCTCTTCTAAGGGAAGAGTCGAGGGGCACCTCTTGTAGGGGAAGAGTCGAGGGTCACCTCTTATAGGGGAAGAGTCGAGGGGCACCTCTTGTAGGGGAAGAGTCGAGGGGCACCTCTTGTAGGGGAAGAGTCGAGGGGCACCTCTTGTAGGGGAAGAGTCGAGGGGGAAGAGTCGAGGGGGAAGAGTCGAGGGGGAAGAGTCGAGGGGGAAGAGTCGAGGGGCACATCTTCTAAGGGAAGAGTCGAGGGGCACCTCGTCCAAGACACGCGACCTTTGCCTCGCCGCAGCTGCTGTTACCGTGCAAGCCAGCGCGTGTGTGTCTGTACGTGAGTGTGTCTGTGTGTGAGTGTGTCTGTGTGAGGGTTTCTGTGCGTGTGTGTGTCTGTGTGTGAGTGTGTCTGTGTGAGGTGTGTCTGTGTGTCTGTGCGTGAGTGTGTCTGTGTGTGTGAGGCGTGTCTGTGTGTGTGAGGTGTGTCTGTGTGTGAGTGTGTATGTGTGTCTGTGTGTCTGTGTGTGTGTGTCTGTGTATGTGAGTCTGTGTGAGTGTGTCTGTGTGTGTCTGTGTGTCCGTGTGTCTGTGTGTCTGTGTGTGTGAGTGTATCCGTGTGTCTGTGTGTGAGTGTGTCTGTGTGTGTGTGTCTGTGTGTGTGAGTCTGTGTGAGTGTGTGTGTCTGTGTGTGTGAGTGTGTCTGTGTGTGTGTCTGTGTGAGTGTGTGAAATCTAGAGCTGTGTGTGTCTGTGTGTGTGAGTATGTCTGTGTGTGTGTCTGTGTGTGTCTGTGTGTGTGTCTGTGTGTGTGAGTGTGTCTGTGTGTGTCTGTGTGTGTGTCTGTGTGTGAGTGTGTCTGTGTGAGTGTGTCTGTGTGAGTGTGTCTGTGTGTCTATGTGATTGTGTCTGTGTGTGTGAGTGTGTCTGTGTGTGTGAGTGTGTGTGAGTGTGTCTGTGTGTGTGTCTGTGTGAGTGTGTGACTGTGTGTGTATGTGTGTGTGAGTATGTCTGTGTGTGAGTATGTCTGTGTGTGTGTGTCTGTGTGTGGCTGTGTGTGTGTCTGTGTGTGTGAGTGTGTCTGTGTGTGTCTGTGTGTGTGTCTGTGTGTGAGTGTGTCTGTGTGAGTGTGTCTGTGTGAGTGTGTCTGTGTGTCTATGTGATTGTGTCTGTGTGTGTGTCTGTGTGTGTGAGTGTGTGTGAGTGTGTCTGTGTGTCTGTGTGAGTGTGTGACTGTGTGTGTATGTGTGTGTGAGTATGTCTGTGTGTGTGTCTGTGTGTGTGAGTATGTCTGTGTGTGTGTGTGAGCATGTCTGTGTGTGTGTGTCTGTGTGTGTGAGTGTCTGTGTGTGTGAGTGTGTCTGTGTGTGTGTCTGTGTGTGAGTGTGTCTGTGTGAGTGTGTCTGTGTGTGTGTCTGTGTGAGTGTGTCTGTGTGTGTGTGTCTGTTAGTGTGAGTGTGTCTGTGTGTGAGTGTGTCTGTGTGTGTGTGTCTGTATGAGTGTGTGTGTGACAGTGTGAATATGTCTGTGTGTGTGTGTCTGTGAGTGTGTGAGTGTGTCTGTGTGTGAGTGTGTCTGTGTGTGAGTGTGTCTGTGTGTGTGAGTGTGTCTGTGTGTGTGTCTGTGTGTGAGTGTGTCTGTGTGTGAGTGTGTCTGTGTGTGTGTGTGAGTGTGTCTGTGTGTGAGTGTGTCTGTGTGTGTGTGAGTGTGTCTGTGTGTGAGTGTGTCTGTGTGTGTGTGTGAGTGTGTGAGTGTGTCTGTGTGTGAGTATGTCTGTGTGAGTGTGTCTGTGTGAGTGTGTCTGTGTGTGTCTGTGTGAGTGTGTCTGTGTGTGTGTGTCTGTTAGTGTGAGTGTGTCTGTGTGTGAGTGTGTCTGTGTGTGTGTGTCTGTATGAGTGTGTGTGTGACAGTGTGAGTATGTCTGTGTGTGTGTGTCTGTGTGTGTGTGTGAGTGTGTGAGTGTGTCTGTGTGTGTGTCTGTGTGTGAGTGTGTCTGTGTGTGTGAGTGTGTCTGTGTGTGTGTCTGTGTGTGAGTGTGTCTGTGTGTGAGTGTGTCTGTGTGTGTGTGTGAGTGTGTGAGTGTGTCTGTGTGTGAGTGTGTCTGTGTGTGTGTGAGTGTGTCTGTGTGTGAGTGTGTCTGTGTGTGTGTGTGAGTGTGTGAGTGTGTCTGTGTGTGAGTGTGTCTGTGTGTGAGTGTGTCTGTGTGTGAGTGTGTCTGTGTGTGTGAGTGTGTGAGTGTGTCTGTGTGTGAGTGTGTCTGTGTGTGTGAGTGAGTGTGTCTGTGTGAGTGAGTGTGTCTGTGTGTGAGTGTGTCTGTGTGTGTGTGTGAGTGTGTGAGTGTGTCTGTGTGTGAGTGTGTCTGTATGAGTGTGTGTGAGTGTGTCTGTGTGTGAGTGTCTGTGTGTGTGTGAGTGTGTGAGTGTGTCTGTGTGTGAGTGTGTCTGTGTGTGTGAGTGTGTCTGTGTGTGTGTCTGTGTGTGAGTGTGTCTGTGTGTGAGTGTGTCTGTGTGTGTGTGTGTGAGTGTGTGAGTGTGTCTGTGTGTGAGTGTGTCTGTGTGTGTGTGAGTGTGTCTGTGTGTGAGTGTGTCTGTGTGTGAGTGTGTCTGTGTGTGAGTGTGTCTGTGTGTGAGTGTGTCTGTGTGTGTGTGTGAGTGTGTCTGTGTGTGAGTGTGTCTGTGTGTGTGTGAGAGTGTCTGTGTGTGAGTGTGTCTGTGTGTGTGAGTGTGTCTGTGTGTGTGTGAGTGTGTCTGTGTGTGAGTGTGTCTGTGTGTGTGTGTGAGTGTGTGAGTGTGTCTGTGTGTGAGTGTGTCTGTGTGTGAGTGTGTCTGTGTGTGTGTGTGTGTCTGTGTGTGAGTGTCTGTGTGTCTGTGTGAGTGTGTCTGTCTGTATGAGTGTGTGAGTGAGTGTGTCTGTCTGTGTGAGTGTGTGAGTGTGTCTGTGTGTGAGTGTGTCTGTGTGTGAGTGTGTGTGTGAGTGTGTCTGTGTGTGAGTGTGTCTGAGAATGATTGTGTGTGTGTGTGAGTGTGTGAGTGTGTCTGTGTGTGTGTGAGTGTGTCTGTGTGTGTGAGTGTGTCTGTGTGTGTGTCTGTGTGTGAGTGTGTCTGTGTGTGAGTGTGTCTGTGTGTGTGTGTGAGTGTGTGAGTGTGTCTGTGTTTGTGTGAGTGTGTCTGTGTGTGTGTGAGTGTGTCTGTGTGTGCGTGTGTCTGTGTGTGTGTGAGTGTGTGAGTGTGTCTGTGTGTGAGTGTGTCTGTGTGTGAGTGTGTCTGTGTGTGAGTGTGTCTGTGTGTGAGTGTGTCTGTGTGTGAGTGTGTCTGTGTTTGTGTGAGTGTGTCTGTGTGTGTGTGAGTGTGTCTGTGTGTGTGAGTGTGTCTGTGTGTGAGTGTGTCTGTGTGTGAGTGTGTGTGTCAGTGTGTGAGTGTGTCTGTGTGTGAGTGTGTCTGTGTGTGTGAGTGTGTGAGTGTGTCTGTGTGTGAGTGTGTCTGAGTGTGTGAGTGTGTCTGTGTGTGTCTGTGTGTGTGAGTGTGTGAGTGTGTCTGTGTGTGAGTGTGTCTGTGTGTGTGTGAGTGTGTCTGTGTGCGTGTGAGTGTGTCTGTGTGTGTGTGTGAGTGTGTCTGTGTGTGTGAGTGTGTCTGTGTGTGTGTGAGTGTGTCTGTGTGTGAGTGTGTGTGTGTGTGTGTGAGTGTGTCTGTGTGTGTGTGAGTGTGTCTGTGTGAGTGAGTGTGTCTGTGTGTGAGTGTGGCTGTGTGTGAGTGTGTGTGTCTGTGTGAGTGTGTCTGTGTGTGTGAGTGTGTGAGTGTGTCTGTGTGTGAGTGTGTCTGAGTGTGTGAGTGTGTCTGTGTGTGAGTGTGTCTGTGTGTGTGAGTGTGTGAGTGTGTCTGTGTGTGAGTGTGTCTGTGTGTGTGAGTGTGTGAGTGTGTCTGTGTGTGTGAGTGTGTGTGTGAGTGTGTGAGTGTGTCTGTGTGTGTGTGAGTGTGTCTGTGTGCGTGTGAGTGTGTCTGTGTGTGTGTGTGAGTGTGTCTGTGTGTGTGTGTGAGTGTGTCTGTGTGTGTGTGAGTGTGTCTGTGTGTCTGTGTGTGAGTGTGTCTGTGTGTGTGTGAGTGTGTCTGTGTGTGAGTGTGTCTGTGTGTGTGTGAGTGTGTCTGTGTGCAAACGCGCTGGTGCAGTGAGTCGTAAGCGATGCGCTGCGCGACGAACCCGGCCACGCCTAAGTTCGATTCCCGCTCATGGAAAACATCAGAGACCGGTTCCTGGGTAACCCTCCCAGACTGAAATGGGTCACCCTGGTGCTGCGTGTTTTAACAATAATACATCCGCACTAGGGAGACAAAGGCGGCCGGGCGTGGTGCTGCCACTAGACACACGCCACTCGTCACGTAGCGAGCCAAACAGCGCTCGCTCCTAACAGCCTGCGACAGACTTGTGATGGGGGATCTTTGTCCTTGTGTGTGTGTCTGCATACGTGTCGATTGTAAACACACACATACTGTACACGCACAGACAGACACATACACACGCAGGCTGCCCCCCGTGTGTACTCGCTCCGCTCGTGGCTGGTTTAAACCAGCCGAGGGTGGATCGGCACACGATATCGAATCCATCAATAAAAGCACGCCAAGCATAGACCGGGAGAGAGAGAGCGAGCGAGCGTGCCGGGGAGAGAACAGAGACAGGGAGAGAGACATGGAGAGAGGGAATAGAGAGAGAGAAGCTTGCCCGTCTTGGGAAGTCGCTCTCGTTTTGAGCTGTAATCCGACTCGCCGGCGCTGGTGACCACTTTTAGGGCGGCTGGAGAGAGACTGACTGGGGGTGGTGCCGTGTGTTCTGTGTCCGTGCGACGAGAGAGAGACACAGACTTGGAATTGGCCGGTTGTTGAAAGTGTCCGGAGACTGACTGGGGGTGGTTGCGTGTCTTCTGTGTCCGTGAGACGAGATAGACACAGAGACTTGGAATTGGTGTGTTGTTGAAAGTGTCTGCAGAGAGACTGACTGGGGGTGGTGCCGTGTGGTTTGTGTCCGTGAGACGAGAGGGACACACAGACTTGGAATTGGTGTGTTGTTGAAAGTGTCTGCAGAGAGACTGACTGGGGGTGGTGCCGTGTGTTCTGTGTCCGTGCGACGAGAGACACAGACTTGGAATTGGTGTGTTGTTGAAAGTGTCTGCAGGGAGACTGACTGGGGGTGGTTGCGTGTGGTTTGTGTCCGTGCGACGAGAGAGACACAGAGACTTGGAATTGTCCGGTTGTTGAAAGTGTCTGGAGACTGACTGGGGGTGGCTGCGTGTCTTCTGTGTCTTTGCGACGAGAGAGACACAGACTTGGAATTGGCCGGTTGTTGAAAGTGTCTGCAGGCTGACTGGGGGTGGTGCCGCGTGGTTTGTGTCCGTGCGACGAGAGAGAGACACAGAGGCGGAGTTGAAATTGGGCCACTTTTTGAAAGCGTCTCCTCACCCGCGTGGGTATTTAGGAAACGGAGGTGCCACGGTGACATCAAAGGTCGGACCAGTCCAAGCCTGAGGCAGGACACACGGAGGACGCCGTTGTCGGCTAACGGGACAGAGAGAGATAGGTGCGCGATGACAATTCGAACGACGAAGTGACTCCAATTTATAAACGACAACAACACAAAAATAGGGCTAAATATTAATAGTGTGTGAGCTATAATAACAGGGGATTTACCAAAGTCGTCGCGACGCCTTTGGGTTGCAAGGGAGGTGATGACACGACTATTCGTGACAGGCAGTGCGCGGCGAGACGTCATGTCGCGTCAAACAAGTTGAACAATTAAGGAAGGAGACTTGAAGACGTGCAAGAGTTGGTGAGAGAGAGAGAAGGGGGAGGAGATGGAGGGAGATACGATGGATGCATCGGTCGTAGCCTGATTGGTGCGTCCAAGGATCATTACCACCGGCGTTATCATCACCACCAACAGCATCATTACCACCAGCATTACCATCGTTACCAGCAGCATCATCACCACCAACAGCATCATTACCACCAGCATTACCATCGTTACCAGCAGCATCATCACCACCAACAGCATCATTACCACCAGCATTACCATCGTTAACAGCAGCATCATTATCACCAGCATCATCACCATTACCACCACCACCATAATCATCATCATCACCAAGAGCATACTTATCCTCGCCAGCACCAACCAGCCTTGCCATCAGCGAGCTCGTCCTGCATGCAGGAGGATTTGCAGAAAGCCAGAACCGAGGGCGTGAAAGACACACAGAGAGGGCCTCTGGCGTGACTGACCAAGACTCCCAAGTGTCACGGGGCACGCGTTCGTGTGCGGCGGGCCGCGCTGCCAGAGGATGAGAATGGGCTCGCGGAGGGATTCGGATGGTCTCTTCTTCCCGTCGGTGATTGTGACCGCGCTCATCGCCGCTCTGCACTTCGACTTTGTGCGACACTCTCTTGCGGCTCCCGCCGCTGCTGCATCATCGTCGTCATCATCATCATCATCGGCGTTGTCATCTTCGTCGTCGTCGTCGTCGGCGGCGTCCTCCTCTTCGCTGCCGGCAGCCCACAGGAGTCCAAGGCACGTTCATGCGGCGGGACCCGTTCGTCTAAGGCACCTGTACAGCCCGGAGAGCCGCGGGTCAGGAGGGCAGCATTTGCATCTTAGAGACGACGGCACGGTGGACGGAGCGGCCCAGCAGAGTAAGCAAAGTACGTATCACGTTTTTAGATTTGAAGCTTTCGTGACTGCAAGGATTCATATTCTTAGGTTTTTTCGGTAAAGTCACGTAGGTAAAAAATAAAAATTAATAAAATAAATATAAAATAAAAATTGTGCTGTGACGGTTCCACCTGAAGACGGAAGCTTGTGTTGCCTCCGAAACGTCTTGATTTTTATTTTATTTTTATTTAACTTTTATTAATTTTTATTTTTTTACCTACGTGACTTTACCGAAAAAACCTAAGAACAGCACGTTTTTGTTTTTATCATCATGCGCCGTCTTCTTCGAATCACAGGACGCTCCGGAAAGTCGGACGCAGCCTCAAACGTTGTGCCCGGTGTTGATGAAGTTATACAAATCTGGGCAGAGGTACACCTCGTGGATGATAAGACGCACCCGCAAATTTCGCTTTCAAAATGTAGGCGCTGCGCTAAGGTAATCTAGGAAAAAAACCGAGCGTCCCAAGTAGCTCAAGTGCTCCTTAATGTTTAGAAAACAATCGAGGTGGCACCGAACATGAGCCCGAATGCACATCCTAATGGGCATTACATACGCATTGACGTAAGCTAATTAATCTCTCGTCGTCTCAAATATTGTCTGCAGTTGCTATTCTCACATCTCACGACACGTGCTCTCTCGTGTCCGCATCTCATTTCACGACGTTCCCGGTCTCGCGTTTAGCTCTTCTCTCGTCTCATGTTTACACCTGAATCTTTTGTCCACAGTTCATTCGTCTCGCCGCACATCGCAGCTCTTGTCGACATCACGTCTGTCACCTCACCAGACTTGTATTCATTGAAAGGGGAGGCGGGGTGGTGGTGGGAATGGGCTAGCACACCCACTACTGTAACCCCCCCTCCACCTTTCACCACTTGATCTCTAGTCATCCTCCCTGTGCCGGCTCTCCCACACGCACCCTCTTCCATTCTTCTTTAGTTTTCAGGCTTTAAACGCAGCCAACGGGGGGGGACGGGGGGGGGGTCACGCAGTCATTTGTGTGAGATTCCCTCAAACTCCGCTGCTAGGTTGTGGTGGTGGTGGTGGGTAGGAGGTCACAGTGCAGCAATTTGGTTAAGTAGAGCGCATCGCTCTGGCAAACCCTTTTAGAGTGTTTCCCCCGCTTCGTAAGCATGCTGGGTTCACTCCAGAGATTCTCTGATTTTGTCCCACATCGAGAGCGAGCGCTCATTCATTGTATTGGGCAAACCCCCAAATAAATGCATGGAACTCTCCCGATGCAAATCTCGAGTCTCGGGCTTTCGCGACATATTGATGACGTTATGAGTGTCATTACGAATGATACATTGCACTTTCGTTTGTATTTCAAGTTTTCATCTCTGCGGGACGCTGCCAAGAAAAATTCTGTACTGCCACAAAAGGCAGCGTGAGTGGCCTTGACGGCGCTGCCGTGGGTCCCTTTAAAGTGCGGTGCCCTTGAATTGGCACCGATAACAATAACTCGGCTCCTTCCGTAACAATGAAGCACGTGGCGCTTCGCAGGGACGAGAAAAGCCCTCGAGTCTACTGAACTCATGAAGTGTGATTCATCGCGTAATTACTTTAAGTCGACTATTCGACTCGTGTACGTACATTTTTTTAAGACCACCAGATTCCAAGAACACAGGATGAGATGTTACTATCCTTTGTGCAAGCACTTCCAAGAGTTCATGAACAGTGAGCCTGGTGAAATTTGGGGAGCGCATCGTCAATAGTGTACCTTTGGTTCCTAGAGTGTTTCGGCCTTTCATACTATACACCCTCCCCAAAGGCGGCCAGCGACAGGGTGATCAACCCTACGCTTGCGTCCCATTCCCAATTAGTCATAGGAGTTGCCTTGTTGTTGATTGCCAACATCCCAGTAAAGAACCCGTTGCTCTGAAATAGAAAATAAGAGCTGTCTTTTTCATACTCGATCGTCCTGTACTCTTAGCACTTTGGGGCCGTCCATAAATGACGTCACGCACCTTGGGGGGGTGGGGGGGTCAGACATTTGTGACGATGTGTGACGAGGGGGGGGGGGGGGGTTGAGAAATGTGACGTCACATAAAAATGCGCAACTTTAAATAAATATAGACAACACGTTCTACTTAATTAAATAGACTTTTTAATAAATGTTTTCTCCAACAACATCAGAGTGCAGCGCCACATTAAATACACACTACAATGACAATAGTTTAAAGCGATTTGAAGCATGTTTTTTTTGGGGGGGGGGGAGGCAGAGCTTGGTGACGTCATATTTGAGGGGGGGGTCTGACTTTTTGTGACGCCGCGTGACAATGGGGGGGGGGTAAAAAATTGTCCAAAATCGCGTGACGTCATTTATGGATGGCCCCTTTAAAGTTATCTGATTTTTTTTTTTACAAAATGCCAAGATAATACGTACTGTGAGCTGTGAGGTTTGTGTCTGTTATATTCTTTAGGATTAAAACAAAAATATTCTGGCGAAAAATAATTTACATTTATAGATGCACAAATTGGAATGTTCGAGCAATTTTAAATAAACCGTGTCAGTCTTCTGTGTTGGCTCCTCCCACCTCTGCAGTGTCACTAATAAATGCCTTCCCGAACGTTTTCCGCCGTTTCAAATCTGTTGAACGTTTATTTGTTTACGTGGAAAAAAAAATCCCGTTTAGCCAGTTACCCAGCTAGCTTCGGTGGCAGCGGCCCACAACCACGAACACATTAATTAGTTTTTGGGGTGCAGAGGAGCCAGCAGCTTGCCAGTAAACTCGAGGACTATACTATAATTAAATAGTATGATTTAATGAATCACTATGAGACCTTCTTTACCAGTGGCAAAATATAGTAATAGTTTTTTACCCTTTCAACTGGTACAAAAACTGACACCTTTATACAAGGCATCATGTTTGCAATCACCACAACACAAGCAGTCAAAATGCAAACAAAAAGAAACAACTCTGATAATGATGACCTATCACTATATTTTGCCACTGGTAAAGGAGGTCTCATATTGTAAATGCTTACCCGAGCTCTCAATATTCTGATAGTGCGCTGTTTTTGAGTTGTACGCCTTTTGACGTCATCTGGTCCAACGCCAATGGAGACTAGGCTCTAAGAAAAGCTGTCTCGGGTGTGGACCAATCAACTTCAAGGACAGTGCATATCATTATCATCATCAGAGTTGTTTCTTTTTGTTTGCATTTTGACTGCTTGTGTTGTGGTTATTGCAAACATGATGCCTTGTATAAAGGTGTCAGTTTTTGTACCAGTTGAAAGGGTAAAAACCTACTTCTACTATTTAATGAATCGCTTCCTCGTCTCAGCCCAGACTCCTCAATCACTGCTGCTATATTATTACCACTATAGCGATATAAAGATCACGATGCGATTAAACAACTTAAAGGCAGGGTTCGTGATCGCCTAGAGATGGCGACTGACATTCACCTGCAGAGTGAGCATCTAGTTGTGTGTGCGCATGGATTTTCTCTGAGATACGTCGCGAGGTGTCTCTTAGAAGATGTCTTAAACTCTTGCGCTGTACATCATTGTCATCATCCATGGTCGAGTCACTGCTGGATGAAAGCTTCCCCGTGTCGTCGTTATCCCTTGTGACACGCCAATGCCAAAGTGCATCTCGCTCCTGTACCGGAGCCGATCTCATCGCTCCATCGCTGTCATGGTTGTCCTGTCGGGGTGATCTCGCTTTGGGCTATGCACTTTTAAATCTACGTTGAAAACGCATTTCTTTAGAACTGTTTTTTTAGGGTTTAGTTTGTTGTCCTTCCCCCACACCTCCGATTAGCACGGTTGGGCTACGTACGCTGGGAAAGAAGGTCAACATACATACATACATAGACTGCATCTCTGTTTGATCCATCAACCCCACCTCTAGTTGGTAGGATTACGATCACCCTTCTGGTTCAGGTCAAGAGTTCATCACGATTCCACCACACCTCGCCATCACGTCCTCATGCTAGATCCCCCTGTTGTTGCAAAGTCCACACCTAACCACCAAGGGCTTTTTTTTTATCACAGTTTCAAACCATATCCTGATGCAGAAGATGAGTGCTTAATACAGTCGCATTTGCCAATTTGATTTGTAACTTTTATCCATAACTTTGTAATGAGAGTTCAATTTCAATGTGCCATTTTATTGAGGTGCAAATGTGTTGCGTTGGTGTGGTCTTGGACTGTTTTTGTTGTTGTTTTGCTGCCTTGCCCAAAGCTTGCATAAAGTGTTGAAAAATCGGACGTATACTTTATTTATATTTACCTTTCTTACCTTTTTCTCTATTTGTTGTAACTTGCTGATCCGCCCCGACTGGACGTTTTTGAAATAGAGCTTCATAGCTCATCGGATTCCTCCAGTCTGAATAAAGATTCTGATTATCATCATCATCATCACCACCACCACCAGGCTTCAGGTATTCCCCTTCGAAGTCAACCTCTGACTCTGTAACCTGCCCTCCTCCATCCTGCACATGTGACCCACCCTCCCATGGCAAACTCAGAATAGAACATGGTACATTTCCTGCCATGTTCTATTCCTAAACTTATACCTTGTTTACCCCATCCTGCCATGAAATTCCCTCCACATTCGACTTGATCCTGTACACAGGGGCCAGAAGCTTATATTCTAGAGCAGTGGTTCTTAACCTTCACTGCAGCCTGCACCACTTGGGTTCTCAGAAAGGGCATCTCGCACCCCCAGGGGGCTACGTGCACCCCAGGTTGAGAACTACTGTTTCGAGAGACGTTACATATCCAACCTGCACGTCCAAGCCTCTCACTTGTAAATGATCCATAGTTAATCCCTGCATGTTTTGCTGTCTCTACGCTGGTCATGATTTTAGTGAACGCGCGGTCGAGTACGACTTCACACAATTTGAGTTTAAAAAATAACGTTCTTAATTTGGTAATACCAGCGAGCAACATCACACCCTACTGATATGTCTACATTCGTCTGTGAAACATAGTGCCTTATTTTCGCCTTGTGCCGTACGGACGACGCAAATACCAAGGGTTATAATTATAATTACAAAATACACCCCTGTCAAATCACGTGTCCTCACCTTCAACGACTCTGATGTCCCTGGCTACTCGTCACACACAAACCTAAATTCCATCACACAAGTTATTAAGCAGGCCCAAACACCACAACAACAAAATAGACGTTTCCATCCATAGCTCTTTCCTCCAGGCAGAATCCCGTGATTGATTCAAGTTTGCAAAACAAATACCGACATCTTACTGATACAGCTCTTTTCTATTATCTGCCTGATTGTATAGGTACAATTTAACACGTAGGCTTTATTATTTAGAATAACCGTGTTTAGCTTAGATCGTGTAAATACATATAAGGGTCTCATTGTAACCCAACAAACTTCATTATTAAGTATAGGTACAATTGGGGACATAATATTAAAGAAAAACTAAGTTATAGGTACAACAAGCCGGAGAAGACAGGATATTTAATTAAGAAGCAATTAGAACAATTTGATGCATCTGGGAGGAGTATCCAATGCAAAGTTCCTGAGCAATATTTTGTGCAGCGCCTAGTGGACGGAAGACCACGATCGCTGACGTCGTTGAGAAAGGACACAGCACATAGAGTGGAGGGGGGGGGGCCTGATTGTAAAACTTTGATTTGGATGTCTGTGAAAAAGAGCTTCATAGCTCATCAGATTCCTCCGGTATAAATAAATGTCCTGATTCCGATCTCTGCAGCCCCTCCCTGCTCTAAGCCAGTGTTCGTTGTCATCATTACACACACAACGTCCTTGCCGCATACGAACCACAACACCTTGCTGACGATCTCGCCAAGGAGCATAAACCATCACACAAACTCCGGTTCTTCCTCGCAGCGGCGTTTGGCTGGCCATCGAACAAAGACAGTCACCGCATCGAGCACTTTCAGATGCGCTTCTGCGGACGGCTGGAACGCTCTTTCTTCAGATATTTGGAAGCCACTGGACCTATGTACTTTTAAATATAGATTGAAAAGTCATTTCTTTATAACTGCTTTTTGCGTTCAATTTGTTGTCCTACCCCCGCACCTCCGATTAACATGGTTGGCGACAAAGAAGTTCAACATACGTTCTCACATTAAGCGCACGCCGTGGATGGCTGTTAAACCCAACACGATGAATGCTGTCATCTGCAAATTTCAATCGACTGTGAAAGATTCGCGATACCACCGTCAGCTCGCTACGCTCGAGAACTCGGTTTAAATCACGGGCGGCTGGCCGAGTCACCAATCCGAACCCATGTTGTCATCTTGCTGGCACGGTGTCACTAACACGGCAATTATGAGCCTCCCGGTGCGCCTGCCACCTCCACATAGAAGCGTCAAAGCGCTTCGCGTCACGCAACTGGGAAAAAGCCACGTTTATCTGACTTCTTGTGTTGGACCTCGACAACCCTGTTGGGCCCTTGTTGATAATGTCTGCGTGTGCCCTCAGCTGTCGTAAAATCCCCTGTGCAGTCTGTACTTTAGAACAGTGGGTAAGAGCGAAACTGAAGGTGACGCGGAAATTGTTAGTTTAATTGGAAGTTTATAGGAAGCATTTATCTTGACACAGCGACGTCCAAATGCCCCTCAATGTGCCCAATCTCATCTGATCTTGGAGGCTAAGAAGGTTTGAGACTGGCTAGTACTTGCATAGGAGACGGCCTATCGGAATTCCAGGTGTTATCTGCTAGGGCTACGAGGTGGCCAGGAGATGGGTAACACGGAAAAGAGATTTTGATTCTCTCTGTGCAGAGCTTTGAGTGTTACCTCCTCATATGCATGGTGGGTTTTCTCAGGATTCCTGCCACGTGAAGCCAAACTCTCATGAATAGAATTGGCCAACGCCCCAATATCGCAATACTCTCTTGAAAAATTGTCTGGAGACTCGTTGATGCTTTCATGGATGAAGGGCATTCATAGATTTGCACACGTCTTGTATGTATGTCGAACTTCTTTCGCACTGTACGTAGCCAACCGTGCTAATCGGGGAGTGCGGGACTGTGCTAATCGGAGGTGCAGGATAATGTGAATGTGTTGCATGGCGCAACAGATATAGAGATAATTTAAGGTTTCTGCTGAAGATAGAGCATAAGATATGTGGCCGTACACATCTGTAATCAAATGCATGTGTGTGGGGTTGCTGGATCGCAAACAATCATTTTCATAGACACTCAGCAGGAGGGGCTGAGTGGCGCCTGTATGTGGCAGTACGTCCAGTAGTTTGCTGCTCCATACCATGCGGATGCTTTCTTGGTGCTCTCCTCATAATGGCTTTATTTCCCTGGGCACTGCGAATTAAATTCACTCACAACACCAGCAAATGTGAATTCAAGGCATTAGCCAACGACTAGCTTTGCCACTCGGGAAACAAAAGTAGCCAGCCGTGGTGCTGGTCACCCATCCACTCGTGTGCCGCGTCGGTTTGTTTTTATAAATGCTCGCTAACAGCACTTGCCCCAACAGTATGTTAAGGCTATAAAGGGGATCTTTATCTTTGGACACTTCGCATGAACAGCTGAACCAGTTGCTACGTAACTTAACATGCAGCTGATTAATTACACTAACACAAGCGGTCGTCCTCAGGCAAGCAAGCAGACCCTGCTTGCTTGCCCATCGCCACATATATAACCTTGTTGTAACAGCTCTCTCGCTGGTTCAGCAGTTGCACTGCTGGATTATTTTTTCCGCGATCGAAACGTCGTGATCTATTTTTTTTATCTACGTGACTTTACCGAATAAACCAAAGAGTATGGATTCCTGCAGTCACGAAAGCTTCAAATCAAGATTAATTACACGATCGGGGTGGAGGGTTGGGTGAGGGAGGGGTCACATCAGCACAACGCATGAACCCGGCTCAACGCTGAGGGATGCAGGTGACGTCATCACGCAGGTGTGCCCGCAAGCCAGAAAAAAAACTAAAAAAATCTAGTGTAGCAGCAATGCGCATCTATCTATATTATTTTGGCAATATAGGCAACAAAATAATGTTCTCGAGGTATTTTATTTATTTACTTTTTTACGGTGGGGGGGGGGGGGGAGATGGTAGGGTGGATCAGAGGTCAGAGCGCTGAGTCGGCACTGCTAAGATCCTGCGTTTGAATTGAGGCAGTCATCACCATTGTCGTGTCTTTGATTAAACTGGATACTCAATGGCAGTGAGCTGATGGTCTCATCCCAGTAACCAATGACCCCAATAATAGAGATTTTTTGGGTTAGATTGCGTACATATGTAAATGTGTCGATAAAACCCGCCACCACCCGACACAGCCAATGACCCCACACCAAAACAGAACACACTCTGAGAACTCAACATATTGTTTTGACTGTCACGTGTTGAATATCACTGCCTGTGGCAGAGCTGGTGGGAAAGTGCTGCCACTCACTGTGTGGACCAGAGGTATCTTCAAGAGAAATCAGACGTACTTATGTGATATTCGCTTCTGTGGATGAGTTTTCACTCAAAGGGTTACAATGCCCTGCGATAAATCCGAATGGAAACACTGTCTCCTGATATGGCACCGAGAGCACTATGGGGTTGGATTTGGTTCAAAAATGACAAAGTAATCGTTGATAAGAGAAGAAGAGAGTGGTGCGTTGCTACGTACCAGCGTGAATCGCGCTCTGCGTGAGAACGCGATCGCGGCTGTTGCAGCACGGGCTACGCGTGCGCCCGTAAGCGAGTTTCCGCGCTCACGGATTTTTGAACTGATCCACGTTCACTCTCCAACGAGGTGCCGGAGATCATCGCATCGCCTCCTTCTAAGCACTCCGAGGTCAAGGCTCCCTTTCCTGGTGTGGTACCCCAGGGCTTTTCCCACTGCAGCCCCCAGACTGTGATATGCTTTGCCTTTGCTAATAGTCGTTAAAGCCATTTAAGTCGGTCTTGAAAACTCACCTCGTCAAATTAGCCTTTACTCCATAGTTCTCTCCGTCTACCTCGGTTCTGTTGATGTCCTGCTGTCAATACACACGGGGCGCGTTAGCGTCTCACGGAATGAATTGAGCCACTTTACAAATGTGCGTCTCTATTTCGATGTAAAGCTTTTGTGACTGCAGAGATTCATATTCTTGGTTCTTTCGGTAAAGTCACGTAGAAGGGAAATAATAAAATAAAATAAATTAAACATTATAAAATACAATTATCGCTATTTATTTTATTTTGTATTTATCATTTTATTATTTCCCTTCTACGTGACTTTACCGAAAAAACCAAGAATACGTCTCTTTTATTAAACCCTCCTGAAAATTCGACGGAGGCTCTCTTAACAGACGGACCGGCGTGCCAGCTTGCCGTACTGACGGTCGCTCGCTCGCCCCTTCGCGTGTGCCGCGGCGCTGCAGGTTTGCTGGAGATGCGCTGGGTGGACAGGGGCGTCGTAGCCATCAAGGGCGTGAGCAGCCAGCGGTACCTGTGCATGGACGACCACGGCGGCCTGCACGGCTCGGTGAGGAACAGCGGTGCCCCCCCGAATTGGTGGTAGAGGAGCGCCGGCTGGGCATTGGGGCAGGCCCAACCAAAATCACATTCACGCATGCAAGTATACCACGGGGCAAGCCGCTAGTCGGGTGTCCGGTGGACACGGTGGAGCGCTTCGATTTTCCCGATGAGCGACGAGAGGCCGCGCAGTCGTTTGTCTTCTTCCCTCCACACCTACGATGAGCACGGTTGGCTACGTACGGTGCGAAAGAAGTTTACAAAACTCGTTTCTAGCTGTTAGCTTTAAACTATCACAAGAAGGGAAAGAGAGCTTAGAATGTTCCTAAGTTTAGTGAGGAGAAAGTTTCGGGTCATGGTTTTTATGACACATGGGCCAAGCTCCGAGGTCCATATGTCACCCTTCAATACCATCAGTCTCAAGGCTCACTTTGCAGTCAGAATGAGCCAATTCTCGACTCGATTAATTGTGACAGACCAACGAATGAAATCTCTTATAACGCAGATCATTGGAAACGTCTTTGGGCAGACATTACAAATCAATGCTCACAGATTTACATAAAAATGTAATTTGTAACGCGGCATATCACAATTTTTCGACTCGCACATTCAGTGCTTGCAGGATGTGTTACCAAATATTACTCGAAAGAGCACCGCCCGTAAGCAATGGCACCCATTCAACACCAAACAGCAACATTGTAAAACCTCATTATGCGTTGTTGCAGAGAATCGCGGGGTAAAATATGAATGGCGGCGTAGAAAAAACACATCGAAGGTTCGTGCAGTGTAAGCGTTCTTTGTTATGCAGCAGTGGGGTGGCAGGGCTTGAATCGTTACTGCTCTGTCAGCGATTGTGTGTGTGGGGTGTGGAGCAGTGAACACAGCGTTCCGTGCACTGCGCTATGAACCCAGCGACCCGAATTCACTTCCCGGCCACGGCCAACATATTAGTGGCGAGTGATAGCTGAAACGGTCCTGGGCACCAACCTGCACAAATCAGCAGGCTGAAGTGGGGTCAAACAACCCGCACAAGCGACGTGGCGTGGGGAGCCTTTCATCCAGCAGATGGATCGACAGAGGACCGTAAATGACGGCTGCCACTTTGTGGACATGTCGCCCCGTCTTGCCGGGCAAACTCCTGCAGCAAATTGCGCAACTTCGGGTGGCGGTCGACGTTCCGAGTGAGAACTGCGACCCTCAAAGTTAATGGCGCCGCCCGCCATGGCCGCCCTCCCCCCCCAGTGATCCGTAGAGCAAACACTTTGCTGCCGGTGTAAGGCAGCAAAGAGCAGTTGATGCGAATGCTGTCGCACGAGCCCACGCGTTTGGCGTAACTGTCCTTCGCTGACTATGCGTGATGAATGAATGAATGTAAATTACGATTATTAACAACCGTGATCTGCTAATGAGGTCGTGTGGGGGAAACCTCAGTGGAGGGCGGGCTTTGTGTGGCGCTGGCTCCCATCACTCATTCGTGCGGAACGCCAACTGCACTGGCCCCAGCAGTCCGCATGGCTCTGTGCGAGGGATCCTTGACTTTGTGTGACCCTGGGGGAGGTGTGTCTTGCCAGTGAATGCGCGCGCGCATGAGATGCATCGTAAGATAATGGTGATGACAGATGGAAATAGCATTCATTTTTTTTCACGTTAGAAAGGTATTTCCTGGTGTCCAGTGTCGGCCATTGTGGCTCAGCAGAAAAAAAACCCCCATAACACTCTGACACCTCACAATTTGAACACCTACAACAATTAAAATCTGCTAATCAACAATGACAAGGCGGCGTAGCTAAGGAGTGTGCAGGCGGTGCAACTGCAACCGGTGCCTGTGGGCCGGAGGGGCCGGAGGGGCCCAGGCACCAAGTCACGAAGGAGGGGGTGGAAATTGGACAGGGAGCCCCCATTTGATCCCTTGCTCCACCAGGGCGCATGCCAACCACACGACACCGCTGCGATTACGCGCGAGACATTGTCTTTGTTTTGCTTGGACTGACGCGATCGCACACAACGCACTTTCATTCCTAGGCAAGAAGAGCTGAGCAACTATTTCTCTTCCTGCTTCCGCCAAAGTTGCAACCGCCCAGAACCAGATGCTCGGTGCATATACACACACGTGTGGGAACGGGGTGGGGAGTGGCAGTACAGTGGTTAGCGCACTGCTCTACGAACTCGAGGACCCGAATTTGATTCCCGCTCACGGCCAACATGAGTCGCGACTGTCTTAACTGCTGCTGGATCTCCTCTAGGTCGACTTAGCACAATCTATTTAAAACTAAACAATTTTTAGTTTTAACGGATAAGGCCCACTGAGTTATACACCTCTTTTTTTCAGAAGCGACCTGGCCACAAATGATAGCTCAACGAAGTGGCTTACCACAAAAACATTTATAGCAGCCAAACGCTCTAAGCGCATGTTCCTGAACGTGGAGGGAAACAGCGGAGGACCCGGGGATGACCGTTGCCTCACTGGAGAGACGAAGTTGATCGCGAGATAAAATCGCGAGATGAAAAAGGAAACCCACGTTGTGCGAACTGACGCGCGCGTTCCCGTGCGTTCCCCCAGACCGAGTACCGGGCGCGCGAGTGCGCCTTTCGCGAGCGCACCCTGCCCGACGGCTACACCGTCTTCTACTCGGCGCACCGCCACGCCGTCGTCACGCTCAGCCCCGGGCAGGGCCGCCTGCGCTCCTCCTCTTCCTCCAGCTCGCCGGGGAGGCACCACCACCTCCTGCCGCCGCTCTCGCAGTTCCTGGCCACCGTCAACGCCGTGCCGCTTCACCACGTGCTGGCCTACGCCGACTTGGCGGAGCCCCCCGGAGATGACGGCGGCGGTGGATCCGAGGGCCAGTTGGACGTCGACGATCCGTTGGGAATGGACGCGGCGTGGCGGGCCGAGCCGCTGGGCCTCCTCCGCTAGCGGGAGCGGCCCGGGAGGCCTCGCAAGCGACGGCTCTTGGGGGGCGGGGTGGGGGGGATGCGGGCCCGGGAAGCGGAAGGTCGATGCGCAGCAAAGGAAACCCGCGGCTCTCGTTGGTCTTGACGATAACGCGCCCAGGGTGTGTGTCCCCCAGGGCCATTGCCCAAAGAGTCAGTCTTATGTAAATATATTTATTTCCATCATATTCTTTTTTGAGTTCTCATCGTAAAAGGGTTACGTTTCCTCCATCCTGTCTAAACTTGCATTTCTTCATTTTCATGGAACCTCTTTTCTTTTCCCATTTCTACCTCCCCCCTCCCCCCCAAGGCTCTTGAAGAGCTTCCTTTCACGAGCCTTCCCCTCTACCAGTACTGCTCAGTCTCGGCCTTTTGCCTTCTCCAATAGGTTCCTCTTAGACTGCTCGTTAACTCACGTGAGCGCTTATTTATTTTTATTTCCCCCTACAGCCGATTTTCTGCATTTGGCGCCGCTCCCCGTCTCTCAAGACCTTCCTGGTATCCATGTCTGCCGAGTGTAACGCTCCACGCACTTCAGTGCTCCACACTAAGGGCCTTCATTTTCTTCTCTTCGTCCACTCCCTGCTCATCCACCTTCTTGCTGAATGCTAATTTAATTTGTAGCAAATCCTAGCTCTGTTCCCCCGAGGGCATTTACCGTCTCCTATCAGACTTACTTCCCCGTATATATTTGAAATGTTCGATCATAGTATTGGCGACGAGAGCGGAGGATTTACGCATTCGCGTCAATATCTAATTCGACGATTCAAGCTCAAAGGTCAAGGGTCGCCGTTCTGGCACCACGGCGGTGACGTCGCTGCGACATTCCTCCCGCACATTTTGCAACGCGTCGTCATCGTCGTCGTAGTGGCGTCTCCAACGGTGCCGCAACGGCACGGCGGAACGTACGCAACGTTTAAAGTCTTTTAGCTGCTTAGGTTAAACATAAAAGTCGAGGCAGACAGCCCAGGACGCGGGTGCGCTTGGTATTTATCAATAATATCGACACGGCGAGAGCCGGTTATGTTTTCTGAGTTGTGTCTTCCTTTAAGAGGAGGAAGCTCTCTCACTGTGATCCGCCAGGGATTTGCGCGGCGATGGTTTGCGACCCGTTTCGGCGCGACCGCACCACTGGAGGGTTGCAGAAATCAGCGAGGGCCGTAGCTTCTCTGCATCCCTCCGCTACTTGAGCAGCCCTGATTGCACTCGGGATAACCGATTCTTTTTTTATTTTTTATTTTTCTACTGACGCACAGAGACGAAGAATGACGGCACATCTTTTTATGGACGTGGCTATAAATGAAAGCTGCGCTCCGGTCATCGCGGCACGGCATCGTGATGTTGCGATGTTGGCGAGCGTTTTCGCGCGCGCGCTCTTGGGCACGTGTTCCGTGTTCATGGGCTTAGTCGTTGATTAATTTTGTCCGGGCTCGTCCAGGTCTGTGACCTGCGAATAACAATTCCGCGTCCATCGCATCACGTGCACCGTACCTCTCCCTCTGGCTGTGGGTTGCTCGTCGCGTGCCACCAGCCGCCCTGGAAAATATTCGGCGATAATTTAAGCCCTGGGTTTGGGTGTGGAAATGCCCACTCGTCCACCGTCTGCTCTCCATGTCACTCCTCTCTTGCTCCCCCACTTCTCTTCATTACATTTCTCCCCATCCTGCATCCCTCCTACAACCCCCGTCCATCGTGATCTCCTTTGTTGTTTTTTTTAGTATTTTTACCGGCCGCAACAAACGCTTATCCGCACAAGATTGCCCCCTTTCACGGGCTCGCGTTGTTAATTGTGAAATACGAGGAGGCCATTGTGTTACCGTGTTCTACCGAATGGCCTGTGTACATTTGTGTATTTTTTGACAATCTTTGTTCTTACATACCCCACCTCGTGGGATGGAGCACACAAAGAGCGATTGGGTCGGTCGGTCTCGTTTTGAGAATGTTTGCCAGTGGCAGGCAGTTGGAATCTGGAGAGATGGATAGCCTTAGAGCAGTCATCGTGGATAGTTTTTTCTGGACTTCGGTTCTTGTTGTTGTTATTATCGACCGGGAATGTGCACGGTTCACTGGAATATGAGCGCAAAAAAACCTCAGCAGCGTCGTTTCCAAAACGTGCCCATTGTGTTAATAACAATGGCAAATTATTTACCCAGGACAGCATCGCGGAGCCTCAAAAGACCCGTTGTCGGGAGGGTTCGGTTGCAATATGTCAGACGTTTGGCCAGTACCGTGAGTGGCTGCAGTTGGAAAGAAACCGGTGAGAAACCCCAGCAAGCATAGCAGGAGGGTGACACTCCCTGGGTATGCGCCTCCATCTCGTGGTTACCCAGCAGCCCACGCCTAGGACACCTTGACATTCCCAGGCGGTCTCTACATCCAAGAAAATAACTAACGAGACTGGGTTCATTCAGACAAAGTTGGTCATACATCGATATGGTCGTAATCTCGAGCGTAGCGCGACGACATTCGTGATGAACACAATTTATAAGGCGTGCGTGTTTCACGAATCGAAGGCGATGTTCGATCGCGAACTCGGGAGGTGTGGAGTGAGAGCTCAGAGTCCCGCCCACCTCCACCACGTGTGCCGGTCCGACACGGCAACTGGAAACAGATACCAACCGTTTGCCATCGCCTAAAAGTGGTAATATTGTACGTACCGTGGACTCTTTTAAGTGTGCTTAGTTGCAAATACCTATGTCTGAATTGACCGTTGTTGTCCATTGCGATCACTATTGTTGATGTTGTTGTTATTCGTGGGAGGGATGGGAGTGGTTTTTGAGTGAGGGACTAACGTTTGTGGATTTATGAAAAGATGCTACCAACATAAAAAAAAACCTAACAATTCGTGGCGACTCACCTAGGCCACGGGCCCAGACTGTCCTCCACCTCCCCCACACAAGTTTGAAGCTGCGATAACGAGGGAACGTACTTTGAGTTGACTCCCACATGCAACACGCATCACGCACAGACACGGGCGTTTGATTGAAGCTGGAGGAACCCGACGAGCTGCGGAGATCTTTCCCAAAGGTGTCCAGCCCAAGCTGGCGTCATGGGGCCCACTCTCGAAGTGATGTCCTCGCCGGAGCTCTCTCAAGCTCACCAAACGGAGCTCGCTTGAAGCCGGAATCCCAGCCAACGGGACAGCCCAGCGCACACGTCGTCATCGATAGGCAGCTCCGAGTGGAGAGCTTGCCAGGAGTGGCTGGAGGTGAAGAAACAACCTTGAACACCGCCGCCAGGTCGACGTCCGTGGCGGCCCGCATGCTGCGCACGTTTTAGCTTTAGCGGGCTCTCAAGGGCGGTCGGAGGTGATGGAGGAGTACGCTCGTGGGGTATGAAGAAAGGGGACTTGGTTTAATCGTGTAATACAAGTTTGCTCAGCTGTGTTTTCCCGATGGCCATTGGGTGGGCCACGTGACATCACGCGTCATATGTTTTTGTTTGATTGACGTCACAATGTCACGTGCACGGACGTTTTGATCTCGTGCGGTGGCATTGTAAAGGTCACGATGTCTGTACGTGTGACCGCTAATCTGTATCTCTTATCTCTTGGTTATCTCTCTCATATCTCACGAATTTGCATCTCTCTCTGTGTCTCATCTCGGTGGGCCACGACTCTTGGTGGGCAGGCCACTCCAAGAGCCTTCGCGGGTCACATTTTGGGCCGCAAGCCACCCTGTTCAAGAACCCTATCATGCATACTTTGTGAAACAGCTGCGGTGGAGATGATGAGATGAAACTAATCAATGAGGCGAACTCAAATGATTTGAGTTATCCGCGCCGTCGCTCCTCGCGAGCTATGGACGGTCGTGTGTGGGCGCGCGCACACTTTTGTAATAATTTATATTTTGGACATCAGTTTGTACGAAAATAAAGTGTATTTTTACAATGTTGGCGATCTGCGTTTATTTACTGTTTGTCAGCAACGTCTGCTGCTCACATTGTGCACTCCCAAGAAGGCCTAGTGGTTGACGGGAAGTCTAAATTACAAAATTTATTTGTAAATTACAAACTTGGAGTGTAAATTACACTTTAAATTTGTATGCCGGGCGGTGGTGGCACATGGCCTGGACTCCAGCACTGTGGAGCAGAGGTCGCAACTGGGTACCCGATACCCGTACCCTACTTGATACCCGGCTACCTGTACCCGGCCGGGTACGGGTATGAGTAGCCGTTTGCGACCTTGGTGCGGCCGGGTATGGGTAGGCCGTGAGTCACTGGTGAGTCACCGTTTGTCACTCATTTCGGGTAGGGTACGGGTACGGGTACCCATCTGCGACCCTGGTGCGGCCGGGTACGGGTAAGGAATCAAAACCCGTTTGCGACCTCTGCTGCGGAGGCAGCGAGGGTCGGTGGATCGTCGCACAGTTGTTGTGAAACTCCCCTCCCGCGGGCGCCGATGAGGTGCCGTACCCTCGCTCGCCGGGAGAAGGCGGTACGGCAAGTGGACGAATCGCCATCCGTTTCCATCCGTAAGATGATAATAGTGTTGCCAGCCTCGCACCCATGGGTTCTCTTCGGGTGCTCCGGTTTCCTCCCACACGTATAATAAACACAACCACTCATTGATGAATTGAAGACATCTTAAAATAAAACAATGCTGGGACCCTCCTGCAAAAGACTGCTATGACTCGGTGGGGCTTCCTGGATAAATTAGGGAATGATGTAGAGGAACAGATGTATGGAGATAGACTGCTTATTTTGTTACTTATATTCTCAACAACGGCGCTAATGATTCATTCAAATTGAAGGTCTTCGTGTGGCTGATGGCAGACTCAGAATCTTTATTTATCCTGGAGGAATCCGACGAGCTATGAAGCTCTTTTCCACAGATGTCTAGCAGGGGCAGCTCAGCAAGTTACCCGTCCTTGATGTTGATGGACAGCAATCTATATATATAAAATCGTGAATCTGTCTGTCTGTCTGTGTGTCTGTGTGTCTCCGGAACATACGCACTTTCATTGGACGGCGGTTGCCCCTGGCAACGGCTAGCGACGCCTTCGCCGCTTTCATTGGACCTGGCAACGGCTAGCGACGCCTTCGCCAAGGGCTGCAGTTTCATTGGACGGCGGTTGCCCCTGCCAACCGCTAGCCACGCCTTCGCCACTTTCATAAGCTCCGTAATTAATTAAATAATAGCCATTACACAGTGTTGTTGGCGCGCTAGGGGGGGGACGAACGCCACCCGTACCCTGCCTCTTCCAAGTCGACAATTTTAGGCGAGGCCGCAGGCTTTGCACGCTACTAGGCCCCGACACCCACCACGCCACTCTGAGGTAAATTCATCAAAGTTTTTCCTACTTTTCACTACACCCCCACCACAATGTGTGCTATTAATATTACTTTTAAACCCAACGCGCCAACAATCGATTACTTTAATGTTCACTGTACAAATACTCATTAAGCTGGGTGAGCGTACTGACAGTCTATTATGTACCCTGTAGCCTGCTTATTAAGCTCTGTCAGCGTACTGCCACTCTATCATGTAGACTCTAGCCTGCTTATGAAGCTGAGTGGGTGTACTGGCAGTCTATAATGTAGACTGTAGCCTGGTTATTATAATCGATTCTTTAAATGTTCTTTGTACAAATAGTCATTAAGCTGCTTTAGCGTACTGCCCGTCTATTATGTAGACTGCTGCTTGCTTATTCAGCTGGCTGGGTGTACTGCCAGTCTATCATGTACACATTAGCCTGGTTAGGAAGTAAAGTTAGTCAATTTGTAACACGTACGCTTTCGCAAACATTATTCATAAACAACGTTATTGCGTTTAGATCGCCTTATTTATTAAGGTGTTGTCACCCTTATCCACCACCCGACACGCCCAATCTGCACAAAATTGTCACGTTCATAAAAGACTAAGACTTGACTGCTTTAGCCCACCGGTGTGTTCAAGCGGAAAACCACAACAATTACCATTTCTCATGAAAAAACTACTGTATAATTATGTTTAAACCACACGCGCCAATAATGGATTTGTTTAAATGTTCACTCAACAAATACTCATTAAGCTGGCTGAGCGTACTGCCACTCTAGAATGTACAGTGTAGCCTGGTTATATTTCTGGGTGGCTGTACTGACAGTCTATCATGTACACATTAGCCTGCTTCTTAAGTAAAGTGAGTCTTTTTGTAACACGTACGCTTTCGCAACCATTCTTCAAAAATAACTTTATTGCCTTTCGCTCGCCTTAATTATTAATGTGTTGTAACCCTCCACCACCCCACACGGCCAATCAGTCAAAAAGTGTCCCGTTGATAAAACACTCATAAGTCTCTGCTTTGGCCCACCGGTGTGTACAAGCGTAAAACCACAACAATTCCCATTTCAGAGTACGTCCTTTCGCTGATGCTGGATGCAATTACCAGCCAAACGTCGTACTGTTCAGTTGTCTGTCCATCTGTGTACGATCACTTGCGAGGGATTTGCCGGGAGGCACGTCCCGTGCCCCGCGATGGGAATACGCATGTCACTGTGTATGTGTTTGTGTGTATGTATGTGTGTTTGTGTGTATGTGTGTGTCTGCGTGTATGTATGTGTGTGTATGTGTGTGTCTGCAGCAAGCGCGTGTATGTGTACCTATGGACGCGCGCGCGTGTGTTGTGTAGGGGGAACGGTAGTGTAGTGGTTAGCGTGCTGTCTGTGTCTGTGTGTGTGTCTGTGTGTGTGTGTCTGTGTGTGTGTCTGTGTGTGTGCGTGAGTGGTGTGTGGGGAGCGGTAGTGTAGTGGTTAGCGTGCTGTCTGTGTGTCTGTGTGTGTGTCTGTCTGTGTGTGTCTGCGTGTGTCTGTGTGTGTGTCTGTGTGTGTGTGTCTGTGTGTGTGTCTGTGTGGTGTGTGGGGAGCGGTAGTGTAGTGGTTAGCGTGGTGTCTGTGTGTGTGTCTGTCTGTGTGTGTCTGTGTGTGTGTCTGTGCGTGTGTGCTGTGTGAGGAGCGGTGGGTGTAGTGCTTAACGCTACGCTGCGCTACCAACCCGGCGAACCCAGTTCGATTCCCGCTCACGGCCACCACCGGTGACGATTATTTGAACCTCCCCTAGGTCGACTCTGCCTCAAACGAGTAACTGCTGTGGCGTATTAACATCGCCACTGGGGAGACAAAGGCGGCCGGCCGTGGTGGATACAAGTCCCGGGCGAAGCCGGGTAGTACAGCTAGTGTCTATATATATACTGTCATTGCACATTGAGGCGGTGGAGCCAGACGATTGCTTCAGGATTAGCGGAGTGGTGCATCGTGGCTGTGATGATGCCTCCTCCTCCGTTCTTCTAAGTTCAATGGATCTGTCCTGGGTGATCACAGCCTCTGCACGATGCTGGAGAGTTTTTAATTTTCCATTTTGTTCATCATATTTATCATCATCATCAAGTTAAAACCATTTTTTTAATCTTGATTTTAAGCTTTCGTGACTGCAGGAATCCATACTATTTGGTTCTTTCGGTAAAGTCACGTAGGTAGAAAAAAAAAATTTACTTGTTTTTTTATTTTACCAAGTAAGGCCCACTGAGCTATATAGCTCTTTTTCAGAAGCGACCTGGCCACAAATGACAGCTCAACGAAGTGGCTTATCATCACGTGGAAGGGTATAGCAGCCGAATATTCTAAACGACTGTTTCTAAACGTGGAGGGAAAAACCGGAGGACCCGGATCAAAATCCACGCGACCACGGGGTGAACACGCAACCTCGAAATAGAGAGGCGCCAGGGTTGGGATCGAATCCACGACCTCCTGTATACCGAGCGAGTTAGTTAACATCTCGATGCGGTTTAGGATTGCTGCCTGGAAGCTTTTGCGGAAGATACAAGACAGGGAGGGAGGCCTTCCGCCTCGGGTCTTCGACGAGGAGTTTGTGACACGTGAGAGACGTTTCACTGCATCAGAGATGTTGTACTACAAGAGATTCCCCGCCAGGGAGCGCATTACACCCACAACGACGTAGCTCGGGTGCTTCTGTGTTCTCAGCATTAACCAACTGAACTTTGTGATCGCTGCTCGACGGTAACTAAAAGGCCGACTTCTGTGACAGCCTTGGAGCAGAGGTCGCAACCGGGTACCCGATACCCGTACCCTACCCGATACCTGGCTACCCGTACCCGGGTACGGGTGGCCGTTTGCGACCCTGGTGCGGCCGGATACGGGTACGGGTAGGCCGTGAGTCACTGGTGAGTAACCGTTTGTCACTCATTTAGGGTAGGGTACGGAACGGGTACCCGTACCCGGCCAGGTACGGGTACCCATTTGCGACCCTAGGTGCGGCCGGGTACGGGTACGGGTAAGGAATCAAAACCCGTTTGCGACCTCTGCCATGGAGAGAGAGGCTGAGATAAACACGCACAGAATCACGGAGACAGAGACAAAGACCCCCCCCCCCCCCCCGTATAGCGTGAATAGACTTGTTTGGCAAGTTAGCGAGCGCCTATGAAGGTCGATATGGGCACACGAGTGGGTGGGTGGCCAGCACCACGATCGGCCACCTTTTTCTCTTTCGTGACGATGCTTACACACCGCACCCGTTACTCATTTGAGGCTGAGTCGACCTAGGGGAGGCCCAGCACCGGGTCAGATAATCGTCACTGGTGCGGGTGGCCGTGGGCGGGAATCGAACTCGGGTGGTCGGTTCCGTGGCGCAGCGCCAACCACAGAGCGCTAACCACGACAGAAATGTACAGAAACACGCAGAATCTCCACGTTCATTTGAACCGGCTTCTCCCTTCACCACGTGGGAGCCGTGTTCACCAATCATCTGGTGCGTGCGGCGTATGAGGACTGCCAAGCGCGCAAAGATGTCCCGCGGTGTATCGCGACGATGGGAGTTTTTGGACAACCCCAAACACGAGAAATGTTTATTGTTTTTTCCGTTTATGCAAAAATACACTCGACATTTTGGCCACAATGGCGTCGCTCAGGATAAATACGATGTGTAATATTTTTGTTATTTTATTGTGTTGGTGGTGTTTAAGCGAATTCATTATCGCCACGTGGTCTCTATCCCAATGTGGGGGGGGGGGGGGGGCTCGAGGGTGGAGGAGCTGGAGAAGGATTCTCGGTGGGGGGGGGGGGCACGGAAGACGTCGCGAACGCCGCTCTCTGTGTTCGCGACTCGAAGCGCGTCCAGCCGCCACGTGGGAGGCGCCGAGACGGCCGGCACACAGCCGCGTGTCCAGACGCCGCGCGGGCAACCGGACACAGCCACCAAGACGCGCGGCAGCCCACAGACACTTAGCAGACCACAGACACAGCACAGCACAGACACAGCACAGCAGCCCGCAGACACAGCACAGCACAGACACACAGCACAGTCACAGCACAGCAGCCCGCAGACACAGCACAGACACAGACACAGCAGCCCGCAGACACAGCACAGCACAGACACACAGCACAGCACAAACACAGCACACCACAGACACAGCACAGACACAGCACAGACAGCACAGACACAGCACAGCACAGACACAGCACACCACAGACACACAGCACAGACACAGCACACCACAGACACACAGCACAGCACAGACACAGCAACCACAGAGACACAGCAGCACAGCACAGACACAGCACAGATACAGACCACAGACACACAGCACAGACACACAGCACAGCACAGACACACAGCACAGACACACAGCACAGACACACAGCACAGCACAGACACACAGCACAGACACACAACACAGCACAGACACACAGCACAGACACACAGCACAGAGACACAGCACAGACACAGCACAGAGACACACAGCACAGCACAGACACACAGCACAGACACACAGCACAGCACAGACACACAGCAACCACAAACACAGCACAGACACACAGCAACCACAGACACACAGCAACCACAGAGACACAGCAGACGCGCAGCGGCAGACCGGACACACTAAAACAGACGTCAAACCAGACGCACCGCAGCTCCCCGCCCCCCCGACACACGTCAGGCTGGATAGCAAAGCAGCCCTGACGCCACGATTCGCCGGGCGCACAACCAACCCCTGCCGCGTCAGTGAAGAAAGGCGACGTGGCCGGGTGTCGTTCGGACGGTGCCTGCAGACCGGCAGGGCAGGCCCACTGTCGACTGGCTCGCGAGAGAGGCAGGAGAGTTGTCCGTGGCTGGGTGGGTGGCGAAGTTGGTGTGGGGTCGTGCCCATGCCTGGTTTGGCTATTGGGTTAACGCTGCCAAGCTTGGTGGTGTTCATTCAGACGCTGTCTTTCCGACAGACCTGTTCTTCACCTGAGGACGGCTGCTTGCGTTGTGGCCGAAACGTCGTGAGAAGTGTATTTTATTATGTTAAATTTTTATTATTTTATTATTTCCCTTCTACGTGACTTTTCCGAAAGAACCAAGAAGATGAATCCCTGCAGTCACGAAAGCTTTAAATCGAAATTTATTGGGTTAAGGTTTCGGACGAGGACTTGTACCGATTTCTCCAGGATAAAGACGTCTTCTGATGCTGTATTCGTGCCTGGTTAGCTAGTTAGACACGGGTTAGTAATCTTGCCCAGTTGGCTCGTTGGTTAAGGAGAGGGCCACCTGTAAGGACTGGGCGATCGATAGGTTGGCTGGCTGGTTTGCATTCTGACCACAAGCATTGTGGTTAACGCAGACATGATTCCTTGTAAGAGGTTTCAGTTTGGTGTTCTAACATCTTGACACCTGTTTTGTTGCCAGAAAAAAGGGGAAAACCCTATTATCATATTTTGGTTCTGGCAAAGGAGGTCCCATGACGGTTAAACGTCGTCGCATAGGTGGAGTTTGATTTCTATATTTGGGGGGGGGGGGTCGCTTTGTCCCTCACATTAGGAATTTGCGGGTGCATATAATTAATCTAGTTTTCATTATAAATTATTGAAAATACATTTATGAAGGTGTCCAGTTTGGGAGGTGCATTGCCCCTCCGTGCGCCCCCCACCCGCCTCCTCCGCCCATGTGTATTTGTATGGGTTGATCTCGTAGTCGTGGCTGGCCAGATCGTTGGTCAGGGTCATGGGGAAGGTCTTCGTACTCTCGGGGCTGGTCGGCGAGCTGATTTAGGGGGTGCGGGGATCCCGTGTGATCGGCTGGTGCGCTCTCGTCTCCCTCTACCCTGCACCCCGCCCGCACCCCCCTCCCCCCCATCGTCACCCATCTCATGTCCCAGGGTGTTTGGCCAATGGCCACCTCTCGCAGTCGGCTGGAGTAGCTTCCAAAACCCATCATCTCCCAGGCGCACCGGGAGAAGGCGCGTGCGTGCGCGTGGTACATTACGACGACTGAGAACACTCACAACGCGGTTGATGGACACGATACACTGCACAGTCCCGCTAGTCTTGGTTTCATCTTGTTGTTGTTGTTGTCGTTGTTGTTATTGTTGTTGCTGGTCGTGAATTTACAAGCGGTGGTGTTAGACCGCCTGCTCGCTCGCCACTGTCATCGTCAACCTCACGCATTTTATTTTTTTCCCTCCTCCTCCTCCTCCATCATCATCAATCATCCGTGGTACATCTCGAGAGGTATTACGCGAGTTCAATAACGTCGCGTGACACGGCAGCGGCGTGCGTGTGGGTGTGTGGGTGACGCGGCGATTACTAAATTGTTAACATTTATGAAAGCAGACGTTACGAAATATTAAGTACACATCATCACCCCGATGCTATATATATTTTCAGGCGCAACACCCCCCGCTCCTCCGCCCCCTCCCCCCTCCAAAAACAAACAAACAAACAGCTCTTCTTGACTTAAAACTTTCGCGACTACAGAAATTCATATTCTTGGTTCATTCGGTAAAGTCATGTAGATAGAAAATAAAATTAAAATAAAAAAATAAATTCAAAGTGTAAATAAAAGCAAAGAAACCACGACGTTTCGATCGCAACACAAGCGGTCTTCATCAGGCGGAGACCGCTTGTGTTGCGATCGAAACGTCGTGGTTTTTATTATTTATTATTTTAATTTTATTTTATTTTTTTATCTCCGTGACTTAACCGAAAGAACCAAGAATCTAGACAGCTCTTCTCTTGTCGCTACACACCGACAGGCTGAGTTGTCCCCTGGCTGCCCGACACGTGGCGTCACTTGCAAGCGACTGTCACCAGACACGGGTGCTGTCCTGACGGCCACTGCAGGGGAGTGGACAGAGAGTGGGAAAGTGACCCGGCCGTGACGTCACTCCGGCATGACCCAACGTCATTTGAACGTCTTTATCTGGACGTTCGACGATTTATCCCTCACCCCATCTCCCCCCTCCCCCGTTCGACCTCACGGCGATTTGGTTTAACCCGTCATCGAATGTTTACGAAATAATACCTGGAAATCCAGCAGCACTGTTTGTAAATCATTCACCTGACTCTGCTGATGAAGTCAGCAAAGGGTGAAATCGGTCGGTCCGGTCTTTGCCTCCTTAACCAAATGCTGCTGTGGTTATATAATAATAACTGAAGACCGGATGGCCAATGGGCCCATGGACTAAGCTACTTTTGACTTTGTATCTACGGCACGTGGGTATACTCTCTGTGCGTGCGGAACGTCGGATAATCGATTTAACCCGTGCCCCACAACGCTGCACTACGGCGCTCCTACTCAGAGAAACGAGACCCTGCATCGCAAACCAATCCCTCGAGCAGCGACAAGACCAGAGAGCTTTTGAACAGCAGTGTACGCAACGCGGGAAACAAAACTGCGTCTTTAAGACATCTTAAAAGCAAAGGTGCCTGGGACTATACAGGATGATCCATCGATTATAGATATCTCACTGATTTGAAGAGGGAAAAAACCTCGTATTTATAATACGCTACGGAGAGCGATTGCCCGAACCTTCTCTTACTGCATGGGGTCCCCCCCGCCCTTAAAGGCAGTGTTATTGACGAATGCGCTGATTGTTTTTATTGTTGTTGTGGCTACGTACGGTGCGAAAGAAGTTAAACTCACGTTGCAGGCCAATCACTGCGCGCGATGCTGTCCAAAGAGAGTTAAGACTTCGAATTACGTGTTTCTTGAGGATTGGTGGAGGTGGGGTGGGGTGGGGGGAAATGTAGAGAGGCTTTGACGCACCCTCCACGATGTTTCAGTCAATTTAAGACACAGGCGTGGCCACGGCAGGACGAGTATGGCCGTGCAAGTCAAACTACGGACAATGAAAGTTCACCACTGCAGTCTGCGCTCCTTCAGCGGGCGAGGAGGAGGAGGAGGAGCGGCGAAACTACACGAACTCCCTCCCTCTCCCTCCCTCCCTCTCTCTCATGAAGCCCTCTCGTCGTGGCCGGCGGACCTCGACATTGGCATCGAGCTTCTGGACATTTCGCTGCTGCCAAGCGCAAGAGGAGACTATGAATTGCTTTAGTGGGTTATCTACAGACGGATCGCAGTGTGTCTTGCAAGCAATTACGCGAAACTTGTTTTTTTTTTGCGGCAAGCCGATTGTCATTGAATGTCAATTTGCACAACTCTAGTGTTTTTTTTCAGATTTCCACTTTGTACATGTAACACTCTGTAAACTTTTTTAAACAAAAAAAAATGTCTTAGTAATACCATATTCTCCGAAATAAAAGACGCACTTTTTTCCCTATTCTAATTAAAAAATAAAACTTTATAGGTGCGTCTTGTAATCCGTTAGCTGTGTCACTGTGTGTGTGTAGAGACCATATTTGTGGCACTTTATTACCACCTGGGGCACGAGGTTTGTGGGTGCGTCTTACTTTTACAGAGAATACGGTAACGACAGCCAACAGTGATCAACATCGACAACGCCGAAAACAAACAGGACAACTTTAACAACAGAGTTCTAAGCTAGGATGACTAATAAATATTTGGAAATATAAGTGCTGTACAGAATACCTTTCAAACGAAATGATTTTGTTGTGTTTTTCAAATGTTTTTTTTTTACAAATAGCCACCGCATATAACTTATAATTAAAATGATCAAAATATACACATAGCCATTTTTTATAATTCTATACTGTATATATACTGTATACACACACACTACTCATAGTAAGTACTGTACTGCATACTTAACCGCATTTAAAAAGTGCATTCATCATTTGTAAAGAAGTGGTTGCTGAAGGAGATGGTTTGGATAAAAGGGTTGGTGGAACGATGAGTGGGTCTCTGGTGCTCACTGATCACCAGGCACGTTTCGATTAATCGAGCGCTCGCGATTGCAACAGCGTGCATTGATCGGATTGCGCGGCGTGAGAATCGATGATTTCAGCTGGACACATGGCGACGGTGGCGAGCGAGGCAGAGAGACAAACGATACAAATGAGGCAGTACCAAACGAGACGTGACAAATCATCGGTTCTTGAATCGAATCGTGATTTGATTCGTTTGTTAAAAAAGAAAATGCCTCTGCCGAATTTGTTCCCATCTCGTTCGCGTTGGCTCATTCGTTGGTATTGGCCTGGACTCTTACATTTGTCACATTTAGCCTGAATGAACGTGAGCATGACATTTTTTCATGGAATAGGCATCGATCGCACGCAATCTATTTTCACACGTAATGATTACATATGCATGTGTCGGGAGCGAATGAACCGTAAAATTTTTTGAAAAAATATATTTCAATTGATAAATCGATTAATCGTTTCGTGCCCATTGAAGTATGATAAATATTCCACTGGGGGGCGCTAGAGACCCGCAGACGGGAGTCACGTGCACGAAAGTCGGTGAACGCGAACGCAGTCCAAATGTTTAACTTGCCACTGAGGCTACCGAACCTACCAACCACTCGTGGTCGATAAACTTTCGTGGTACCGTTTAATTGACATGGGCGCTTGAGTTTATACAGCACCGGGTTTGACCAATTCTTCTGTTGTTAAATCTTTTTTTTAGGTACAGCAACAGGATGAGTGGGGGGGAAAAGCGATGGAAATTCCATATTTTCATGGCGAGAGCCAGACTGATCATAGAACCCACCACTTGACTTGCCACGAAGTGGTGATCGTTTTAACGGCCTCGAAAAAATGATGGGCTGCAATGGAACCCTGAACAGTGGGATGTAGAGTCAATCAGGATGAGTAGAATAAATACTAATTAAAATAATGTTCACGTGTTTACCGAGAACCTCAAGACATTTTTGAGCCGGGTCCTGCTTTACATTGGGATGTTTAGCCAAGTCATTGTTTTTTTTATATGACGACTTTTAAGAATCAATTGGTGTGGGAGGAAAACCGGGAGTCCTGGGCGAAACCCCACCACCACCACCACGCACGAGGAGGGCATCACCCTCGAACGTCTAACACAGACGGATCCACGAATGCCACCCACTTGCTGCACTGCAAACCGCCCGGCGGGGCAACTTGAGTATATCGATGGCCGGCTTTGGGGAATCTCGCACGGAGCTCTGCGTGATACACCAAACCTCGGCCTCCAATGCGATGTCTCACGGGCGTGCCCCACCACGCCAGACTTGGGTGGTGTTGGATAAGAATGCGTCTCTGGGCTTAGCGGGGCTTCTGTGCAGACCGGAGCTGTGTGTGTGGTCGTGTCAGTGTGTGTCTGTGCGCATCTGCGTCTGTATTCCGTATGTATGAATGTGCGCGTGCGTGTGGTGGGGAGTGGTAGTGTAGCGGTTAGCGCGCCGCGCTACGAACCCGGCCACCCGAGTTCGATTCCCACTCACGGCCAACACCAGTGACGATTATCTGAACCGGTCCTGGGCCTCCCCTAGGTCGACTCAGCCTCAAGTTAGTACCTGGTGCGATGTGTAAACATCACCGTTTGGGAGACAAAGGTGGCCGTGCGTGATGCTGGCCACTCACCCCCTCGTATGCGGTTCCGGCCTTCATAGGTGATCGTGAACAGCACTTTCCCCAACAGTCTGTTAAAGGCTATATGGGATGTTTGTCTTTGCATGAGTATATGTGTAAATGTGCACGTGTCACTAAGTCTGTGCGTTTTACATGTGAATGTGCCGTGTGTGCTTATCCTGTACGTATTTGTACATGCGTATATCCGTGCGTGTCTGTCTGTCTATATGTCCTATCGCCCCATACAAAATCAAAACCCCGACAGACGGCGGGTTCGGGCAGCCAAAAATCCAGCGTATTTTCCAAATCCTCTTGCATTATAGAAATATGAGCGGCTATAATAACCGTGTCGGAGTCACTGAGCCGGAACCGCTCAGAGCCTGTGTTCGGATCCAGGTTTCAGCCGCCCGACCATGATTCAACCGAGATTCTCGAGCGGAGACCGATCAGTGTGAGATCGAGACCCACCCATAGACTCGCAGAGAGACTCGATCTCTCAGCTGGAGAGACCGATCGAGTCACAAAGAGGCCAGTCGACTCGCTACGGTGGTGCCCCGATGTTAACTACCTTTCCCCGTGGCCTCGTGGATTTTTCTCCGTGTCCACCAGTTTTTCCCTCCAGATTTAGAATCAACACGCGTTGAGAGTATTTGGCTGCGATACATTTCCACGTGATAAGCCACTTCGTTGAGCTTTCATTTGTGGCTCCTGAAAATAGCTATACAGCTCAGTGGGCCATACCTGGTAAAACATTTTTAAATTCATCGTTTTTTGTTTCGTTTGCAAAGACAAAGTTGTGATTAAATTGGTTTCTCAAGCATAGCGAATTAATGATGGTGTCAGTCCAGTCACCACCGATGACTGAAAAATGAGATTTTTTCCCATCGTGTTACATTTGGCGGGGGGGGGGGGGGGGGGAAATAATTTGCCAAAATTCTCACTTTGAAATTAAATATTTTTGATTTGATTGCCATGCGGCAAGGAACGCGTCTATAGTAGCAGGGCACGTGAGGCATTGCAATGCCCCTCTCTTGAGAACAAAGAGGGGACCGCAGTGACCTCAGAAGGGCAGTAGTTCTATGACATCATAATCATCATCGTTGTCATCGTCGTCGTCAAAGATCCTCATCCAGGGCCGTTCCCCGACACGAGGTGACGCTACACTGCTCGATGCTAGAATTCCGAAAAAGGAATATCTACATCTCACGACAACTCGCTACTGAAATCCCGATCGGGTTCCACTCAGGAGAAGCAAAAAATAAAGAACATCAATAATGTTTTTTTTGATTTTAAGCGACACGTGGACAACCCAAAATGATCGGTCAGTAGCAGTCACCTGACATGCGTTGTTCGTTACCATTGGGGACAAGTGGCGGTCGGTCGTCTTGTCCTTCACAAGCCTCATTCGGCTCGTATCTAAGAACTGCCGTGTCCCATTATAAGTGCCCTCGCATCTTGCCACATCAACATAACCGAGGCAAGTCCACTCCACCCATCGCCACCACCGCCCCAGCCCGTCACCTTAAAGGTGTCTCTCTGTCTGTCTCTCGAAGTCTTCCAATCCTCACGTTTGTTGTCGTCATCATCATCATCATCGTCATATTCTTCTCCTCCAGATCATCGCGGACAAATTGCAGCGAAATGGAATCACCGATTCATGAGCAACCACGTGATGATTTGGCGACAGTTGTCAAGTCGATGGCTGCGATTGGGTGGTCGATGTTCTTCATCAGAGAAGTGGACCTTCATCGTAGGATTGTAATCTTCATCGTTTGGAGCTGGGGGTGACTCTGGCTGATGTCTTCTCACCACATCCAGGCCTCCCTAAGCCAAAACTTCATAGTCCAATGAAGCTGTGAGAACCCAAACGCAAACACACACACACACACACGCATACTCCACCATCTCGTCCCATTGCTGGTGGCATCATCATCAACTCCCAATCACTATCATGAACTTTGGTCTATCTATTGCTGGATGAAGTCCTCCCCATGCCATGTGAGTGATTGCGATCTTTGTTGTTGTTCACCACGCTGGTTCCGCGATGCCACCACAATCAACGTCAACGCTTATGCATCCCACCTCTCTGATCTCAGTTTAACACGTGGGCTTTGATCTCATCGCTCCATCGCAACATCCGCGCTGGTTGACTTCTCGGGTATTCCCCCCCCCCTCTCTTCTCCTCTCCCTTTGGCTGCCATTCCATCACCAGTCTCATCCACCGGACATTATCATCATCCTCACCACGACCATCACCACCCCTGCTTGCGACGGCGAAGTCCCACCAAAGCCCACACCTCAGCGTTGCCTCGAACAGTCAAAAGAGCGACGGCGTCCCTCGTTCGCGTTCCGTGAAGGGGGCCGTCGCGCCTACGCCGGGTGCTCGTTCTCGCCGCCGATGCGTCTGGGCAGGAAGTGCGTCACGGTCAGAGCCAGGGACACCCGGCCGCCTCTCTTGCTGCGACCCCCCTTGCTGAGGCCGATGTACATCCCAGCGTGCTCCCACGACTCGTAGGCGTTGTAGTTGTTGGGCAGCAGGATCTCGCGGAACTTGCACTCGTCGCTGAAGTTGGACTGCGAGCGAGAGAGACAACGAAAAAACGTGCGACCGGCCGCGTCAAATTCTTTCAACCTCCCGTCTTTCGGAGACAACGATCCCCCGCCACACCCCCCCCCACCCCCCTCTGTATCTGTACCGCAAGTCCTCGCTTTACGTGCAGTGTTCACACAACGCGTCTTCGCTATGACGCGGTTCTTCCGTCAGGGAACGCTTTTCGCGTAACACACACCGTTATTATAACGCGGAACGCGTCCCATTATAACGCGGAACGTGTTCCATTATAACACGGAACGGCCCTTTATAACGCGAAACGCGCCTGTTATATAACGTAGTTTAGGTCGATGACGAACTACTTTCTTGTGCTGCACGGCCGAGTCGATACAGTGCATGGAATAATACAGTAACGCAGCGGCATACCCTCAGATATTTGACCCGCCATCATACCGTGCGTGTGTGCGTACATCGTCAAACTTATTTCAGTATCATTCACGGCGAAATTGTTTTCGCTTCACGCGCCTTTTTGCTTCACGCGGCACTTTTCAGGATACGCATCAACCGCTTGACACGAGGACGCCGCTGCACACGACGGGAACCCAGCCTGCCCCTTGAGCGAGCGACACGTAGGGAGGGGTACATGGCTTGAGTCGTGCCTCCGTCCTGCGGCTCGTCATGAACACACAACTTTGCGAATCAGGATATTTACGCAATTGCCTTCTGGCGGCGGGAGAGATCACAAGTATGACACTCACATTCGGAGCAATCCTCATTTCTCAATGCCCCAAATGTCACGTCAATCATCCTTACGCTTGGCAAATTGCTGCCGCCACTCGGACACCCGTGTTCGATTCCCGCTCACGACCACTTAGGGAGACAAAGACGTGGTGCTGGAGACCCACCACTTCACTTGCCCCAAAAGCATGTTAAGGCTACACGGGGATCTTTGTCCTTGGCTTGTTGATAATATACATTTGGGGAGTGCTGGCACAGCGGTGAGCGCACTGCGTTACGAACCTAGCCACCCAAGTTGGACTCCCACTCATGGCCACTGACACCAGTGCGCATTATCTGTCCCTCCCCTACGTCGACTCCGCATCAAATGCGTGCCTGGTGCGACGGGATACAAAATCAGCCGGGCGTGGTGCTGGCCACCAACTCCCTCGTGTGCCCTGCCAGCCTTAATAGGTTCTCGCGTCCAGCGCTTGTCGCGACAGCCTGTTAGAGTCTATACGGTTAGGGGATCTTTGTTGTATGCATGGCAGTGGAGGCGGCAAAGCGAGGAAGAGACGGGGTGATGAGGCGGAGCGGTCGGGAGCGAGCGTGTGCGGACACGTGTTGCGGGATGCCTGTGACGCAGCGCGCACACCCCCCACTCTCAACTGCAAAGGTCACCGCCCGTCTGATGGTGCTTCAGGTGTTTGCCTTGAACATCACCGCACGGCGACAACGGCTCACCGCCGCCGCCGCCGCCGCTACACATGGTTGTGTCTGTCGCCCGGGGCCGCGTGTAAGCACTTGAGGATGAATGCCTCGACATTAGCGCTCGTGTTGCGAGTCGAGAGGTGCGGGGCTAGCGAGGGTCGGCAAAGGTCATGCCCGGGAGCGACGGCTCACAAGGCTGACCCCCTAAACGCTCACTCTCACCAACCCGTCCACCCACCCGCCCAACCGCCCATCCCCTCTCTCCCTATCTTGTCCTTCTCAATTCTCAAGCACAAGCACCGGTGCCTTTGTCAATGCACTGCTGAATGAAGGTTTCACTGCATCGCGCGCTTCCAGATGAGCGTCTGTGGCCGTCTGGAACGCTCTCGCTTCCGATATTAGGAAGCCACTGGAGCTTTTAAATCATCTGTATTGAAAACTAATTTCTTTAGAACTGGTTTTTAGTTTGGAGTTTGTTGTCCATACCCCGCACCTCCGATTGGCGCGGTTGGCTACGTACGGTGCAAAAAAAGTTCAACATACACACACAACGTTCCCCCACCCACCCCACCTTACTTCACTAGGCCCGTCAGTGTGTGTTGGTGAAAGTGACGAAGTGAAGCCTGGGACCGGTTCAGATATGACTCGCCACCGATGTTAGCCGTGATCAGGACTCGAACTCATGTCACGAACCAAACCACCCCCAAATCTCCCCCGGACCCCCCACCAACCTATCCACCCCAAATCTCCCCCCCACCACCACCACCACCAACCAAACCCCCCTTCAACTCCCCCCACCACCACCAACCTAACCACCCTAAATCTCCCCCCCCCCCCCCCACGACCAACCTAACCCCCCTAATCTCCCCTCACCCCACTCCCCACCACGTATCACTCACCACTGAGCTAACGACACGTAACGACGCAATGTCCGATTCCACAAATAGACGATGCGAGACATCACGCTGCTCCTGGCGCCGGTTGTTTCCCATCTCCCGTGCGCCACCTGGACGTGAAGGTTGTCGCTGTTGATCTGCAATCTTACAATCTTACATCAGCAGCCGTGCGAACGAAGAGGACGCGAACAAACTTCCGTGGCGAGTGATGTGCGCGCCTCTCCCGGACGCCGAGTAAACCTCCACGCACGACCGACGCTGCGCGGCGACAGGCCTTCATCTAGCGGTGGATTGACCAAGGGATGAATGAACGTGATTCACGGTGTTATCTTTTTTTTAATTCATCACGACCGTCGGCTCGCGAAACAAAGCGAATGCAACTTCTAAAACGTTCATTTGGTCACGATGGAGTCGCGGTCGGCCGCCAACCGCGTGTGCCATTCATTGTGCGGCAGCCAATTAACGAACGCTCAATTAAACAGGCATGCGGCCAGGGTGCACTGTAGGAAACCCGATCGCTGACGTGAGAAAGCGGAGTCGGGGGAGAGGATTGGGGGTGGGGGGGGAGGTGAATCAGCGGTGGGAAGAGAGAGAGAGAGGGGTCTTGGCGTGATGCGTGAACGACGATTCCACAGCAGCGTCCGCACGCTGTGAGACAATTCTGAAGGGTTCGACACCGGAGCAGGGGTGGCCAGCAGTGCCCGACTATCCTAGTAGCACGAGTAGCTACACAAGTAGCTACACAAGTAGCTACATATGTAGCTACGGGCCCCGCACTTTCAAGGGCCCCGCGCTAAATGCTTTCAAGCTATCAATTCCAGTTCAGTGATTCTGCACTTGCTCCATTACTATAGCACTATAGTGCCTTCGACTTTTATGAACGACTGGGTGTTCAAGGTTAGCGATTTGTCGTATTACCTGGCTGTGTCGCAAATGAAAAACTACAATTACTTTACTATGCAAGTTAAAAAATTGTGTTTTAATATTTACGTGTTTTTTATTTTATTTAGGGCCCCTATATAACATATGCTACAGGCCCCGCACTAACTTAATCCGGCACTAGTGGCCAGCGATTCGAGTCTTGCGAACGATGGTGGCAAACACATCCAGCGGCTGAATGGCAGTGTCGAGGTCTGCTGCTCGCCACGACCAAGAGGGCTTCTGTAGAGAAGAGTTCGTGTCGTGGATTTGCTGTATCAAGTGATACAGCAAATCTGGCTGTGACGGTCCCACCTGATGAGGGAGACTTGTGTTGCCTCCGAAACGTCGTGAATTTTATTATTTGACTTTTATTAATTTTAATTTAAAAATTTTACCTACGTGACTTTACCGAAAAAACTAAGAGTATGAATCCTTGCAGTCACGAAAGCTTCAAATCTAGAATCGTTCGTGTCGTGGAGTTTGTGTAGGGGAGTTCGTGTCGTGGAGTTTGTGTCGTGGAGTTCGTGTCGTGGAGTTTGTGTCGTGGAGTTCGTGTCGTGGAGTTTGTGTCGTGGAGTTTGTGTAGTGGAGTTTGTGTCGTGGAGTTTGTGTCGTGGAGTTTGTGTAGTGGAGTTTGTGTCGTGGAGTTCGTGTCGTGGAGTTTGTGTAGTGGAGTTCGTGTCGTGGAGTTCGTGTCGTGGAGTTTGTGTCGTGGAGTTCGTGTCGTGGAGTTCGTGTCGTGGAGTTCGTGTCGTGGAGTTTGTGTAGTGGAGTTCGTGTCGTGGAGTTCGTGTCGTGGAGTTCGTGTCGTGGAGTTCGTGTCGTGGAGTTCGTGTCGTGGAGTTCGTGTCGTGGAGTTCGTGTCGTGGAGTTCGTGTCGTGGAGTTCGTGTCGTGGAGTTCGTGTCGTGGAGTTCGTGTCGTGGAGTTCGTGTCGTGGAGTTCGTGTCGTGGAGTTCGTGTCGTGGAGTTCGTGTCGTGGAGTTCGTGTCGTGGAGTTCGTGTCGTGGAGTTCGTGTCGTGTTGCTGTTCCTCAGCAACATAGTTTCGGGTGCATGGCCACAATCGCCCCACTGTGGGTTGTCTTTAATGTATCTCTTGTATCTCTATGCTTCTCTACGTATCTCTATGAGTCTCCATGTATCTCTGTGTGTCTCCATGGGTGTCCTACGTGGTCCAGAGTTGTTGCATGGCCCCACTCGCACGACACCACTGCGGATTGTGTCTCTCATTTTACATTCATGAAGGAGATGTGCGCATCGGCCTGGCGATGTTTACATCGCAACGGCAGACGTGGCAGACGTTGAACCTGCATCTCCGATTAACACGGTTGGCTACGTGCGGCGCGATAGAAGTTCAACATACATATTATTTGGTTCTGTCGGTTAAGTCACGTCTAAAGATAAAATAATAAATTAAATTAAATAATAGCATACGACGTTTCGATTGCAACACAAGCAATCATCATCAGGTATAATGAAATAGCGACATAAAATCTAACCAGAAAACTATAGACAGACATATTAGCAGACAGATATCACCAAGATACATAGAGAGGGCAACACAGGTAACAAAGAGGAGTGATCATCTCTGTGGGGTGGCCTTAAATAGACAGAGGGGGGAGGAGGCAAAGAGAGGGAGGGGGTTAGAGAAAACATTTGCATATCAATGAGTGGACAACCGAAAACAAGGTGCTGCAAGTGCGATGACACGGCAAGCAAGCCTGAAAATCAGGAGAAGGACAAACTAAAATTCAATAACCTAGTAAAATATCGAAAT